GACTGATCTCTGAATTCGGATCATTTGATGAACTGATGGCTAAAAGTAAAGATTTCGCTGAATTTGTTGCCGAATATGTGTTGAGACAGGAGTCAGAAGAGGTGGACATCGAAGACGAGAAAGAGTTGGAAGTGTTAGCAAAACTGAGACAAAGAGTGAAACCAATTATTGAAAGACAAGAATCGCATAAATCTTCGGACAATGAAACTGTTGTCCGACAGAGAAGTCGCACACGAGATGTGTCTACAAGTGATAGAGTGAACCAAAAGGAGACCAAAAGTAGTGATAAAACCACTGAAGAAGAGACAAATAAAAGCAAAGGAAAACTCATAAACGAGGAGAAATCAGAGACGGGTTCTACTAAATTCAAAGTCTATGTGAAATACTTTCAAATGATTGGTATCCGAAGTATTGGTATAATTATTATCTCATTTATCGTGTCATTTATGGCCGAATCAATGTCCAGTTTATGGCTCAGCGACTGGTCTAACGACTCACTCGACACCAAACGGATTACCGATAAGGGGTTACGCATTGAAAGACTGGGTGTCTATGCAATTACCGGTATATCGGAAACGGTTTTCCTATTTATAGCAAAGTTATCGCTAACATTAGGGTGCGTTAGAGCAGGAAAGGTATTGCATAACGCAATGGTAGACCATATAGTGAGGGCACCGTTGGTTTACTTTGGTATGAGATAATTAATTATAAGAATATTCCTATAGTTTGTGTTTTAACTGATTGTTCAGACACTACACCCATCGGAAGAATACTAAACCGATTCTCTCGAGACATGGATGACTTGGACGGGAAGATAATGTACTCATTGCAGACAATGTTACTTAGATTCATGGGTTTAGTCATGTCGTTGGGAATAATCAGTTGCCAAATGCCACTCACTTTATTAGCTATACTCCCCATTATTATGGTGTATGTCTGGTGTCAACGGCTATATATCGCCAGTTCCCGACAAATCAAACGAATCGACTCGACCTCCCGATCCCCTATTATTAGTCATTTTAGCGAATCAAACGCCGGCACCTCTACTATAAGAGCGTACGGCGCGACCAAACAGTTTATAGCGAAGTCTAACCGTTTGATTGACAAAAACAATAGCTGTCATTACGCCTCCATATGCGGGAATAGTTGGCTCACAATACGACTCGACTTTTTAGGCAATTGTATAGTGCTTTTGACGGCTGTTTTCGCCATTGCTTTCAGAGATACTGTGAGTCCAGGGATGGCCGGTTTGACCATCACTTATGCCTTAAATATTACGCTAATTTTGAGTGGTTTTGTGCGCGGTTTTAGTAATACCGAGACTTTTATCGTCTCTATTGAGAGGTGTCTTGAATTGACTCAAACACCCGAAGAGGTATTCAATGAAAAGTATTTATGTTTTTAATGATTAATAACTCATTTTTATGTGATTTGAAGGCCGAGTGGTTCAACGATCGGACAAAACCGCCGCCCGATTGGCCACTAATGGGAGGAATAATGTTCTCCAACTATAGCACAAAATATAGACAGGAATTGGATTTAGTGCTCAAAAACATCACATTAGATGTCAAACCGAGGGAAAGGCTGGCAATAGTGGGCCGAACCGGTGCTGGAAAGTCATCCCTGGCTTTGGGTCTCTTCCGACTCATTGAAGCCACTGATGGGACGGTTAGTATCGATGGCATCGACTGCTCGACAATAGGTTTGCATGACTTGAGGTCTCGGCTAACAGTCATACCTCAAGAACCGGTACTCTTCGCGGGCTCTTTGCGACACAATTTGGATCCATTGGATCAGTGGTCAGACAAAGAGATATGGAGTGCCTTAGAGTCGGCACATCTGAAGACATTTGT